GAATTAGACTAGCTACCTCATCCCATCTCAGACTGACGAATTATGGTGATTTGATAAAGCACATCACATCATGTCGGTGAATTACGTCGAAGTGACCACACACTAAGGAAATTTTGAATTCAGTTTGATATCATATACTACTTATGTGAACATAAGTAGCGTACATCATGAAAATAAGTAGAATGATTGGTAGTAATGGTAGTAGTAGTTGTAGTAGTATTCATGATGGTATTAAAAGTGATAGTATGAGTAGTAGTATAAGAAGAAGAAGTGGTAATAATGGTAGCAGCAGGAGCAGTAGTAGTAGCAGTAGTAGTAGAAGTAGTAGTAGCAGTAGTAGTAGTAGTAGTAGTAGTAGTAGTAGTAGTAGTATTGATAGTATTGGTAGTGAGAGTATGATTACCAGAAGAAAAAGAATAAGAAAAATAAACAGCAGTAATGCTATCAGTATTAATAATATTAGTATTGTTGATGGTAGTTGTTGTGGTGTTATTCTTACTATTGATAGGCTTACATTTAGTTTTATTTTTCGAAACTGAGTCTGTGATGGGAGCAATCGGATTATAGGTTGGAGCAATGGTAAAATTACAGCGATTGAACAAGATCACAATGAGAAAGAATTTTGTCAGCGTTCATTTTCAATAGATGAAATGTGGAGAGAGATTCATTGGAATATTGTGGAAATAATAGATGATGTTGCAACTGCTTCATGTACTGTTGCTATTCAGTCGGATGTAGTGATGCGGAAATAATGCACACGAAATTCGATTATCAAGTGTTCCACGATTTCCAGTTCTGCTGTACATCATTGTTTACTGGATATGGGAATATGTTCTTTGATTATGGAATCAAATGCCCAGTGGTTGGCCTACTGTGATGCACAATACATCACGAGTCGAACGATTACGCCATCGCGACATATAAGAACGTATATTTACTTCGATTTGTACAACATCAAATACCCAATATCTTTCTAACGTGTTACACAGTGCAATCCAAATGATTTCTTGACGCTCGATTCTTGTTACTTTGGTAGGGATCCAGGTGTTCGGTAGTGTCGAATGAAGTGTAGTATAAAACGTGGTGTTCCCACGATATTGAGACCGATTGATGAATTGATCACATTTCATTGGTCTTTCAACTAGAAAGCACTGCATTGAATGAAATACTGATCTCTCTTTCATTTCAAATATTCCACCTTCCATCTAAATTCTTGTTTCTCTTGTGACTTTCTGTTGACATTAAGCACCCACGTATTTCTAGTAGAATGATCAGTTGGTTTTTTGTAAAAATGGTACGATATTGTCATATGTGAGCGTGGAATACTCATCACTACTAATAAGAAATTGAAATGTGACCGGGCTAAGAAGCTCAATGACATGATCTGGTAGAAGTATAATTCTAAACTAAGTGATGGTTTCAATGGCAATTAGACAAACAATATCTTTTAAATCCGTTGCTGAATAAATATGATGAGTATGT